TGACTTAGAATATGCCGATGATATAGTTCTATTTGGTGAAAACGCTGACAAAATGCAGAGTCTTCTGACCACTCTAAGCAACAATGCAAGCATGTTCGGGATCCGATTCTCCCCCTCGAAATGTAAAATGTTGCTTCAGGATTGGGTTGCATTGACACCCGAACTAATGATAGGGAGTGAAGTAATTGAGCGTGTCGATCGCTCCACTTATCTTGGGAGTGTAATCGGCCTTTGTGGTCTGATTTGTGACGAAATCTCAGCACGGATACAGAAGGCTCGACTAGCTTTTACCAACTTGCGTCATTTATGGCGTAGGCGAGATACCCGTCTACCAACCAAAGGACGGGTTTAATGCGCAGCAGTTCGTTCCGTCCTATTTCGTGGCTGTGAAACATGACCGGTAAGAGTAGAGGATATTTGTAGGTTACTATTATTCGATCATAAGTGGCTTCGAAACATTTCTCGTATATTCTGGGACCAAAGAGTAAGTAGTCCAGTTGTTAGGAGACAGTTACTGGGTAAGGATGGCGAATCAATTGATAAAGTAATGAAACTTCATCAGTTGAGATGGCTGGGACACGTGTTACGTATGCCCAACCACCGACTGTCCCGACGTGCGATGTTTTATGGTTTGAGAGTAGGTTGGAAGAAAGCTAGGGGCGACCAGACCAAAACATGGCTGATTTAGTATATAGCTAACAGAGGTTGAGGACTGACCTTGTGTCTTATTTGGAATTCGTCAGCCGGATGTACCTGTATCGTGCTGAAACTTTTAGTGAGACTCAAATCCATTAGTAGTACCTTTCACTTCAAACGTCTTATGTGCTATCCACTGAGGTATTAAGTCTAGATAACCACTAATATATATTGAACGTGTGTGGACGTTTATGTAAGGGTTTTTAACTTCGTATTGTTAAAGAGAAAAATGTTGGATTTGAGTTTCATCGTGAACGTCGACACTTGCATATAGATACATATCATGGTGAGTAGTCCGGAAACGGACGAGATGTGCGTCCTTCATTCCACTGTTAATCAAATTTATTACATTACAATCAAAACTTTGTATGTATTTTTATTCATTTTAATCACATGAATCATTTCATAATTGATTAAATATGTTCAGTCAGTTCAATGTTTTAGTATCTTCGTTGTCTTTGATGATGCACTTTTCATTGATTTGCACTAAACATTCATTAAACGAGGAAATACAAACCTACATACATAAATATCAGAAGGCGTTTTGTGGATATTAAAGTAATTTTTAATAGTTGAGATCATGTGTCAATTGAAGATAGATCACCATGGAAAACCTGAAGGCACTAGACGGCCGTTTCGTTTTACTGTGGGACTCCTCAGCAGTGCGCATCCACGATCCCTCCTGAAAACAATGGTGGATGTGTCGCTCAGTTTCTTGTATTATTTGAAGTTAGACAATAATACCGCTGGATGCCGGATCAATGGTCTAATTGTTAAGCGCTCGCGTGCGAGACCGATAGGTCCTGGGTTCGAATCGTGCTAGGCGAGATCATAGATGCGCACTGCTGAGGAGTCCTATACTAGGACGAAACGGCCGTCCAGTGCTTCCAGGTTTTCCATTGTGGTCTAGCTTCAACTGGATTATGATCGCGACTATTAAAAAAATACTTACATAAGTGTGTTAATAACAGTAGGTTTGGATTGTTGCGAATGGTTTTTTGACAAAAATCATCAATGACATCATAATATAATGATGATCTTGAATGACTGAATTACGTAATGTTGTTAACTATTGAGTTACGATTTATCCACCTAATTACATCGTAAGGTTGGTGGTCAGATTCTTAAGATCCTCTGTTCAATACTACTTTATGAAAATGATTTTGTGCCTCAAGTACTGATGATGAGTACTACAAAACCTAACTAAAAACCTTTCGTTAGCTATTGTATCAATTTCTAATAAATCATCATTTATGACTGATACGCCCAGTTCAAATTTTACTCATCATTCAATAAAAGAAGGTGAAATTACAAGCTGAACCCGGACACAATCATGTTCATCAGTGGCTTTATTCATACTGATCAATTTTGATTCATATCACTCGTAGATGCATGTAAAATTCATCACGTCCACTATCTCACAGTGTTTAAATAGAGTAGGCTTATAAATGTTGACTTCATCATCAACACAATTATCGCTTGTTATAATAACAATGGATTAATTTTCTCAATTCATGATGCTTTAATGAAACCCTCAAGTAACTTCAATTAACTTTATGTATTTCGTACATTGAAAAATTCTGCACACAACAATGATGGTGTTGTTATCGTTGTTGTTGTCCTTATTGTCGTTCCATGAAATATTTCAGTTTAAAATTACATCAACTATCTTCATACTGTGTTATGTGATCACTCTCCAACATTCAATGAGATTTCATTTGTTTGTCTCTGATCGAAACAGTCTTCATTGTTTGGACTTATGGATATACAATCCATATGTTAAGAATAGAATAACACGTGTATCGTTGTACTGTTAGTTTGATGATGTAATGAGTATTCGTTCAAAGGAAGTGGATGATGATATTCGTTCGTTGATGTTACTACAGTTATGAAATGACAGTAGATGTTCGCACAATTATCTACACTCTGAATAAATATACACAACTCAGTCAGTCAACTGACCTTCTCACTCGAATGTGATTGGTAACAAAACTATCCAATCATTATCGTCCACTCTTATTCGTTATGTTTGTTGATGTGAAAGATGTACAGTTTTGTGCAGTGGATATGCTTTAATTTTGTTTAACTCATTCATTCACATTAATTTGTAGATGGTTAATTGATGAAGAAGACAAATGTATGGATATTTGTACTTTGTGTTATGGAATATTTTCGACACAAACTTGTAGATCTAGTTAATTGATGCATTTGACATCAGATGAACTATGCGTTCTAAAGTCGATTATATAGTCTCTATTGTTTGTGTTATTTAAGTAGAGTTGGTGAGATTATAATTTATGAAGGACGTTTGAGCGGCGACGGCGAAGTGACCTTGAGAGTGTCTACCTACTTACTCGGTTTAAATGAGGGTTATAGAGCAGGTTGAAGAATGAGGATTATAATTTATAGTTGATGGTTTGTATTAGGGTTTTCATCACGAACTGACATCAGCTATAATGCCAAAACTCTATTTAGCCAAATAGGTGAATGGTTTTCGCGTCAAAATCGAAAACCTGTTATGTAAATCTGATTGATTCGTCCGTAAAGTACAATCTCGCCTTAGAGTTAATATACTTTACTTTTTTCCAATATGGCGTAATTTTGAAACCTAGTATCGTTATTGTTACTGTCAAGTCATTAAACACCGAACGGACATTTCTTTACTAAGTCACGCTTCATATTTTATTAATTTATGTGTTGTAAATCGCATCAACTGTACTTGATCAATTGACCCTGTAAGCCAAACAATATGAAATTAACAAATCCATGTAACTACGCTTATTCTTATCCATTTGTATTTGATGTTTGTTCAGAAAATAATTGTTTGATCTCGTATTTTATCAATAATTAAGTACTTTCGTGACGTATAAATGTTCTAGATCCCATTCCCATTTGAATCACCAAAAATGGGATCGTGCTGATGAGATCACCAATCAATAAGAAACACAGCTTAGATTCACCACTAACGATTATTTAACATCTATATATTATTCGTACTACTTGTACGTTGATGAATTCATTGTCAGGGAAGTCCTACTCACTGCCTTCTCGTGGTGGGGGTGTTGTTTATCAAATTGAGAGAACGAAAAGCGAATGTTCGGCGCTCTAACCGGGTTAGTGGATAAAGTGAATTCACTGACACTGATTCCAAACTGAATCGACCTATTTTTTAATATATTCAAGGATTCCATAGTTTTAGATTTATAGGAGTTTAGAAATCATGTCATAAATCAGTTTTTTGATTGTTTTCGATATTTTTCAAACATAACAGCTCATTTACGACTGACCGGAAAGATTCTTCAGAGTAAGATATATCTTAGATTACATCATAAAATGAATTCAATAGGGAAGTTGGACTATATGGATATCAGCTGAGTTTCATGATAACGATAATATGGTCGTTGTAGAAGTTGATATTTTACGAGTACTCGTTACTGACTAGTAATCTGAAAATAAGGCAAAACAACTGTCATTGTTCCATGGATTTCATTATTTCACCAGGTTGATTTCAGTCCTTAAAGAAAAGTGGTTCCCAATCATGGATTATGATAATGGAATGGATCACAGCCAGAGAGTTGGCACTTATATACATGGTTCAGTTTATAGGTTGATGACTTCATAGGTTGATCCTACGTCTCTGTTTAGAGGATTCTAGGTTTCCTTCAACCTATTTCTGCACTAAAAAACATTGCATATCAAGATGAATTCTTTGCTGTAACAAAATGTCTATTAATGAATAAATCGACTATCAATATTATTCATTTTATTATTTATTTATTTGAACACATAAACATTAGTACAAGGGGGCACCAAATACATGTAGGCCACACAATGACAATGAAACTAATGGCAGTTATCATTGCTTTGTATAAGGACTGTAATACTGCCGAGGTACTCAGATCCAAGCAGGTGGTTTTCTTATGCGACTACACCCGAAGCCCTTGATCTAAAAGTCTGATCCACAAGAAAACGTCAGGAGATGCAGTCCCATGGTAGCCGGTCACCAATAATTGGTTCATACGCCATTTGTTCCTTTAGTATCATGGAGCCCCTATGCACCATTGGTGGTCCACCACTTTTCGTCCTTTCGATTTCGTAGTCAACAATATTGCCACAAGAAGGCAGTGAGTAGGATTTCCCTGACAGTGGTTGTACAGGCGTAGCCATGTGAGAGCATTTCGATAGGGAGAACTGACTTTCCCCACTCTAGGCCGTATCAGGTCATTTGTGGGCATCAATGTTATTTACTGTCGTTGATCCGTCTTTTATTTTAATTGTTACTATTGTTTTCTTTCTATTTTTAGTTAACTTTATTCAATCCAACTGGTCTTGTAGTGAAAATGTTTGTTATTGTATATGATTTAGCTGATATGCCACCAAATTGTCAAACATTCTTAAGACAACGTACAGTTTATATGCCAATTCAACAACATAATCAATTTCATTCATCTTATATAATTTCCAATTCAACACAATCAACATCTTTACATAACAATTCTAATTGTCCATTTCATAAACCTCAATATAATTCAACACATACTAATACGAATCATTTAAATTGTAATAGTACTCCTATTACATCAATGATAAATACAAATGTATCGATGAATAATACATTATCCAATTGTACTACAGATCATTTATGGGATATATCATCAAAATCATTAACTGAACCAAATACACCATCATTTCTATCTTATTCATCACTATCTTCATCATCATGTTCATGTTCGTCTATTACATCAATTGGTTCATTAAGTTCATATGGTTCACAGAATGCTGTTAATAATAATACTACTAATAGTAATACTACTACTAATACTACTGGTATTGCTGGTGTGTCATTGAATACACGTAATGAATTACCTGCCTACTTACGATATCTAGTTCATTTAAGGTAATATTCATTGTTTGTTGGGAAAAAAAAACCCAATCAAAAGAAACTTTATTTTTCTTAATAATGATTAAATAAGCAATGATTTAAACTAACAACATGAACTGGTTAATCATATTATTTATAAATGGATCAATAGATTGTTTTTGATTGAGATCATGAACCGATTGATGTTAGACTACTGTTGAAAACCTGGAAGCACTGAACGGCCGTTTCTTCCTATTGTGGGACTCTTCAGCAGTGCGCATCCACGATCCCATCCCGTGGGATTCGAACCCAGGGTCTATCGGTCTCACGCATGAACACTTAACTTGTAGACTACTGGTGTTATTTTTCTAATAGAAATACCTCACTACCGTCAACCAACAACATGAACTGGATAATCATGTTATTTATAAATAGACCAATAGATTGTTGACAATTATAGCTCACAATTATTATTCGTTACATTTTTTGTGGATATTATAATAATTTCAATAGTTGAGATCATGAGTCAATTCAAACTAGACTACTATGGAAAACCTGGAAGTACTGGACGGCCATTTTGCCTTGGCGTGGGATTCGAACCCAGGGCCTATCAGTCTCGCGCTTGAAAACTTAATCTGTAGACCACTGGTGTTATTTTTCTGATGGAAATACCCCACTCCCGTCACATTATAGCATAGTCGATAATAGACTCCTCCATCGGAATTCAGTATTGCTGCTTTAAGTCATACCGCTATTCAACTAACGTTCTTGGCCATGATATGACAGACATAAAAGAACTTGCGTTCCAGTTATGATCACTCAATTTATTCAGCATGTTTTGCAAACTCAACCAACCACACACCAAAGTAGCAGCTACAACCAATACGTATTTTATTTAGTGTTTATCAGTTGGAAGTTATCTACAGAAAGTCTTTATTAGCTTTGTTTTCATGTTTGTTAACATTCATAAACTAAAATGTATCTGATTTCCTGAAGAAAAATTCACTATCTCCTTCCGTTGGCATTCATACTTGTCGCTTGCCAGTCAATCGTAATCAACAGAAAATATGCAAGAGTGACATTGCAGTCAGTCACTAACAACGTAGAACTTCGTACGTACGTACATCAGTTTGAGTTGCCATACCACATCAGCACAGAGACGCAGTTGTCTATTCAAATCCCGTAGTGGTAGAGCTAGTATGAGTATAAGTAGTAATCCGAAACATTAGGGTTTAAAGATGTTATGCAATGAGTATAATCCAGTAAAATAAATTTGGAAAGGGAAAAAACAAAGAGACATAAAGAATTCAGAAGATTAGAATTGGGGAGAACAGAAAGAGTGGATGCACCTGTGCCATTGCAAGCGATTTTGAGCCACATCATTCAAGGTCTCTAACCATCGGTTGCTATCGTCTTGCGGATCCCAACCAAGTAGTCTACACCTACCAGCATGGATCAGTCCACTTTTCAGTGACTCCATGGATTTGTACCACTACTTAGCCTATTTTATGGTTAGCATGTAACACTAATTGGAAGTGAAAACGCTGACAGCAGAAAACTAAGAAGATCAAGTTGAAGAGAAAACAGAAACGGAAATAGAATAAAACTGTAAACTGTAAGAATCATACTGAATTTGTAAGACAAATGATGGAATTTTACTAATGAAGTATTCAATGTATGGTTCTCATATTTTACCAAAAGTTTATTTATGTTTGTTCGTTTATGTGTATGATTATCTGAATTGTTTATTCCTTAAAATTGCTAATCATGATTATCACATTATGTGCACTTTTATCTTGATCTGCGTGTTTCTTTCTATTGCACGTTCTCTCTTTCTCTCTCTCTCTCTCTCACATACACACTTGCACTCCAAGTATCATAATACATAATCGGATTATGATATGAATTCATTCGTAATTGTTATGCGTATGTGTGTTTGTATCCACTTCGTCGTAATTGACTTACTTTTATCAATACGTGATGAAGTTAGCAGTTATAAACAACGTGATATGTTGATCACTTTTTTGTTCTATTCCCCTGATTCTAAAGTACACACACTGGAGAGTAAGAAAGTGTATAATTCAAAAGAAAATAACTATCAACTCCTATGTTTACATTTCTTAATGGTAAATCACGAGACTTCGTTGAATGTGTATTCATGGTATCTCATTTTGTGAGTTGAACTCAGTTGACTTTTTTCGTTAAGTGGAACTACAACATTAAGATTTAATCTACACCATTGAACTCATGGATTCACCTTGCATGGATTTATTTGTGCTTAGAGATATCATTTAAACCCCCAAATGCCCTGGTATGACCGAGAATGGGTAAAGTCAGTTATCCTTCTCAAGATACTCTCAAATGGTCACGTACATACAACTACTGCTAGGGTAGTCCTACTCAGTTCATTCTCTAGGCGGGGGTGTTTTTTTTACGAAATTGGGAGGACAAAATGCACTTTAACCGTGTTAGTGTAAATGGAGGATCCACCCAGGGGATTTGGAAAACCCTCATTCCAACCAAATGATACACATGGGCTCCAGGATCCTGAGGAATCAAATCGCGTACGAACCAATTATTCGTCACCGGAAACATGAGACTACATTTCCTGACGTTGCTCCACTGTGTTGTGAACCAGACCTTTAGGTCAAAGACTCTGGATGTGGCCCTGTAAGAAAACCACCTGCTTCGGTTTGGGCACCCGAGCAGTATCCCAGCCCTCAGAAAAATCTAATGATTTATATGGTGCATATCTGTTTGGTGCCTCCTTGTACTAATGTGTATGTGTTTAAATAGATTAATTATAGTACTGTTTCTCGCTTAGCATTTTGAAGGTAGACATCAATACCGTTGGATGCCGGCCGTTTCAATGAATTAGAAGTTAAGCATTCGCGCGCGAAACCGATTAGTCCCGAGTTCGAATTTCTCGAGCGGGATTGTGGATGCGCACTTCTGATGAGTTCTATACTGGGACGAAACGGCCGTCCAATGTTTCTGTGATTTCCACAGTACTCTAGCTTTAATTGACTCATGAATTCAACTATAAGAAAAGAACTTGACCACATTGACATATTTGTAAGAAATAGCTTCGAATATTGAACACTCCACTCCACTATACAATACTCACTCACTAAATAAATGTTAACATCCTTGATAATGTTTAATAAAACACTAATTGAAAATAGAAAAATGTTACCGGTAACCCATACCTTCACTGATAAAGAGATTCTAATATTCATTGATTTTAATCAAACAAACACAGACTTATATTGATTATTATTATTTATTTATTTATTTATTTGAACACATAAATATTGGTACAAGAGAGCGCCAATATATATGCGCCACACAAAACAATGAAAATTCGAAGAGAGATAAAAAAAAACTAAGGAGCACAAACGAAAAAGAGAACGATAACGAAGAGGTTGGTGTAAGGTAGTGTGGTAGTAACGAGGGAACGGAAAGGTACAATCAGAAGAAATCTTTCAGGTAAGGAAGACACAACCACTTTTTATGAAGAAAGTAAAAGAAGATGACAGCAGGACCGCCACTGGCTTCTATTCTGAGCCATATCTGATAACGTCTCTAGCCACTGTGTAGCACCATCTCTCAGACCCCAACCAGGGAGTCGTGAAGGACCGACAGAAGCCAGTCCTTTGCAGCTTTCTTTCATACCACGACACCATGTCATGCACTGACCACCTCTCCGCTTTTTCCAACCAGTCCCAGAGTTGGCAAATCATGCACGACGTGGAATTCTCTGGGACGACATTCGTAGAACATGTCCAAGTCACCGAAGTCGATGTTTCAAGATGGTGACACCAATTGAATTATCATCTCTGTGCCCAAACACACGATGCCGAACCTCTGCATTACTGACATGGTGTTGCCACTGTATGTCAGCAATCCTTCGGAGACAGCGATGATCGAACACAGAGAGTCGTCTAACGTCCTCAACTCGGAGAGGCCAGGTTTCACAAGCATAGAGCAAAACTGCTCTCACCGACGCGTTGTAGATCCGACCTTTTACAGCCAGACTAACATCACGAAGGCGCCAAACGTGGCCCAGATTGGCATAAGCCGCTCTGGCTTTCACTATACGTGCATTGATCTCATCACTCACACCCCCACCAGCACTTATGCAGCTACCCAGATACACGAACTTCTCGACTACGTCTATCTGCTCATCATCCAGAGTGAGTACAGGATTGGAATCCTGCCAGTCTTGTAGAAGTACTTTGCACTTCGAAGGTGCAAAGCACATACCATACCTACGGACACTGATTGCCAACTGATTAAGTGCGGATTGCATGCCTTGGGCATTATCGCACAGTAAGACAATATCGTCCGCATACTCAAGGTCGAGAAGTCTTTCTCCAGGCAACAGATCCACACCACCATTACTTACATTCATCAGAGCTGTTTCCAGCATGTCGTCGATGGCAAAGTTGAAGACGAATGGTAAGATCGGGCAACCCTGCTTCACCCCACTGCTCGAATGCGACAATAGAGAAAGGTGTTTGTATGCCCTCACTCTGCCTGAGGTGTTTGTATACAGGGCTTTTAGGATGTTAATAAACTTCTCAGGCACAACCTTCTTCAATAGACAATTCCAGAGAACAGTCCTGTCCAACGAATCGAAGGCAGCCCTGATGTCAAGAAACACTACGATTGTTGGCCTTTGAGGAGTATGGCGGTGTTCTAACTTTTGGTGGAGGGTGAAGATATGATCAATACATCCTCGACCAGAACGAAACCCAGCCTGCTCCTTGCGAGTCAATCTTTCTCGGGTTTTGAACAACCTACGAAGTGTGACGGAAGCCAATAGCTTGGACGCAATCGGAAGTAGACTTATCCCCCGATAGTTGTTACAGGAACGACGTGAACCCTTTTTAAAGATAGGGACAACTATCGACTCATTCCATGACGTTGATACACTCTCTAATTCCCAAACCTTTGTAAATAACGTCGTCAGTTCCTTAGTCAGAGTCCAGATAGGTACTCCAGAAGGAGCGGCAGTCTTGTACACAACCACGCCAGCGGTATCTGATCGCGACATGATCAATCTGTGTCCAGGCTCGAGATGCAGAGGGAGGACGCCAGGTGGCACATCGGCGATGACTGTGCCGAAAGTTAGTGCTAGCGAGAAACAGGTTGTGGTCTGTGCAAAGTTGCAGTAGACGGTCCCCGTTATCTGTCCTGCGATCAACAAGTCCCCATCGGCCACCTTAACGACTCTCTTCTGTGCCTAGACGCCCGACCTGAGCATTCAAGTCTCCGGCTAGTACTACAATATCTGTCAAACGCACTTTCTGGAGAAGAAGAGTTAACTGATGATAGAATTCATCCTTGATTGCATCCGGGTTGCAATCTGTCAGGACATAGGCAGAGATGACGAAAAGACATCGTTTTTCACTACGATTTCTTCTCACTTTGATGGAACTTTCTAATCTAACAGCACATAACCGACTGTTAATGGGGATCCAATCGATTAGTGCTGCCTCAGCTCTAGCGCTTAGTGCGACACCAACGCCAGCAAGACCAGACGAAGATGCCACAGGGTCCCCGGATAAGCGCACGTAAAACAAGCTTTTCGAAGCGACAGATGGAGGTCGAATTTGTAGTACTTCGCCAGAGTCTTGAATACGGGTCTCGGATAGACAGCAAACATCAATATTAAGACTTTCTAAAGACATAGCCAGCCCTATCTACTGTCCGACCTGCATAAGTGTGCGAACGTTGAAGACAGCCAGTTTGAATGGTGCATGTGGTTTCAGAAAACTGCTTCAATATTCGTATTTGGTGGTATAGCATACAATTTTCAACCAGGCAGTGACTCGAGAACGTTTAGATAGAACCGAGTTTCCACCATAAGCGAGCTGCTGTATAAGTCAAAGAATAAGGATACACAGACTGGGAATAAAAGAAAGTGAATGAATGAAGTAAAATAATAATAATAATAATAATAATAATAATAATAATAATAATAACGTGAATCGTTTGATTGTTGATCGAAGCAAGACAAGTATTTTCCATAAATATCGACATTTCATCATATTTGTGTGTGGGCTGTGATTCTGCCCGGGTGCCCCAACCGAAGCAAGTGGTTATCTTAGGGGGCCACACCCCGAGCCTTTTGCCTAATGGTCTAACCCACAAGGCAGTGGAGCATCGTAAGGAGATGCAAACCCATGGTAGCCGGTGACCGACGATTGGTTCATACGCCATTTGTTCTCGCAGGATACTCGAGCCCATGTGCACCATTGTTTTGTGATCCGGTTAAAGCGCCGGACGTTCGCTTTTCGTCCTCTCATTTTCGTAAACAACACCCCCGCCACGAGAATGCAATGAGTAGGACTTCCCTGGCAGAGACTGTATACGCGCGGCCGTGTGAGAGTATTTTGAGAGGGAGAACGGACTCTCCCCACTCTCGGCCGTACCAGGGCGTTCGGGGGCTATTGATATTAAAGCGGAATCAGAGTAATGAATGTTCATAACGAATTACAATTTAACATCCGTTCAATTAAAGCTATAATTAAATATACCTAAAATATATATCAGATCTCATTTCTGAAGATTAGTCATTATAGTCATATAGAAGGATGTAGGATATCAAGATCTTATCATTGTGCTTAAAGAAGATGGTGGTTCCAGAAGATATAGACTGTTCTTTTGAGTTATACCTTTCATCACTAAGTTTCTGAATAGTTATTTTGCTTGGATTAATCTATTTTCTTTAGTAAATCCCGTATATTCAGTCTTGCGTCACTATTCTTTACTTGACACTTATAATCTTGCTTTGAATATTGTTATCCACCTATGAAAGTATGGAGTTATAGGTATGTTACCGGCTTAGTACTATTCTTTACATCTTTTTGGTCGTAACCCAACCGTTGTTACTACATTAACGTGATGGTCGGGCTTGCCTATCGTGATAAAGCAACCGAGCTATACTGGCTGGAACAATCGTTCCTCAAGGTCCTACCATGCCAGACAGGTAGGCTGAAGAGCGGTAAGACTAATAGCAACAAACCCAAGATCCGAAGATGAAGTCGTACTTCTCACTGTACAGAGGTGTGGCAGCAGTAAGGTGTTTCCTTCAGGCAACCGGAATGACAGCGATGCTACCTTCTCACAAGGAGGGGTGGATCTAGAAAAGGTCGACAATAAAAATGCACACCTCGCCTTATCCCACGGATATCCGTTCCCGGTGGTAAGGTTTCAACAAGTACGGAGCTAACACGAGAATTACCCATTAAAAGGTCGTGTGGGATCGACCTGAAGAAGTTGTCCCTTGGGCATTGCGGTCACGCTCTCAGGTCATTAAGACCACCTCTAATCCAATGTTTTTTTCAGGTACGCTCTCTGACCGAGTGACTTTGGTCGTAACAGGAGAGTGAACTTCAGTTTTTAATTAACCTTTCGTATTTAGATTAACATGTTTAATCCTAACACTTCAATAATAACTCAACCAAATGTTAATGATACTTAATTACCATTATCGAAATCCACCTAACCTTAATTCTTCATTGGAAATTATCCACAGAGCAATATAAACACTAAAACCACTTACTAACCATGTATTGATTCGTGTACTCGGCTTTAAATCGCGTTTTTAGTATGTGGGAGGTAATGGTAAAACTGTCTAGTGGTTGTCGAAAGTAATTTTTTGAATCCTCTAATTTATTAATTTAAACGAACCACCAGTGAATAATTAAGGCCCATCACTATAAAAGACCAGACGTTTTTTCAGCATATTGCTCAATCCATGAATGTTATAAGTAGGATATAGGAATCAGTTTGAGCTATTTGTTATGTTCGCTATTTCAATGACGCATAATACGGTATACAACTACGGTACTCAAACATATAAAACACAACAGTAGCAAAATCAGAAGGACTCTAGAGAAGTATTGGTTGGGTAAGAATCAAAATATACAGGAAATCATGGGTATTTATAGATGTTGGCGTTTGTTAAATCAACATTATAATTCAACCAATCCGCAAAGAGGTATTTTATTTTACTGTCCTTTAGTAGCATGCCACATTGATATTTTAGAAAGCTCTATCACATTCTGACTAGATAGAATATCTCCGGCTCCTTTAAGGCCTCTCTCTTCTTGTAAGCTGTTCCAACACTATTCTTTAACAAAAAACCATAACGAATTTTCACTTGTTATCAATTATTTAGTAAAACGTTATCGTAAATCAACAGTTTATGAGGGAAAAGTTCCTTTTTTAACAAGTTTTTCTATCTGAAAGTCGAAAACATTGACTTATAGATTTAGAATTTTCATGTTCTCACATACTCATATAGTTTATAAGTAGTCAGTACATTGATCCTGGTGAC